TATATATATATATATATATATATATATATATATATATATATATATATATATATATATATATATATATATATATCGTTCTATCGAAACATGCACAAACTTTAGATCAATAACCAACTGAAAATGTGTCAAGCGTTATTTTTGCCGGATTAACCTTTTAATGTTTAAGACTTAGAACCGTGATTTTACTTACTGAAAGGAAAAGTGGGACTTTGTAGGGGAAGTCAGCTTACATGCATCTTAAAATATCTGTTGAAAAAATAACAGTAAAATTTAATTATTTTAAGAATGAAGTTATCCAACCTTCAGGAAATTATTCATAACGTTACCATTATATTATATTATTTTGTAAGCTGAGTGTTGCCATTTCTTTACTTGTTACGGCTGAAATCCTTGACTTAAGCTTTCCTTAACTTTCATACTTTACTTCTTCGGGAATCTGGGTTGGTTCATTTTTTGTTGACAGTAACTCAACTGTTTATTAATGAGAGAGCGTATTATTTTGTCTGTTCGAATACATTTGTCATGATCTTCAAGAGCTTGTTCGTGTTTGGAAACTCTGTTGTCCATATGATTACAGTGAAGTAGAAAATTTCTTAACGTTATCTCTATCATAGTCTTTGTATTACTAAATGCACCTTCGACTTTCAGCTTATAGATATAGATGACAAACGTTTATTGGAGGATGACAGGAGATTTTTCTTCACTGCAGATCAGGATAAAGATGAGAAGTTATCGAATGCTGAATTTCATGCCTTCCAAAATCCTGAATCTTTCCCACACATGCATGCAACCTTAATTGAGGTAATATTATGGCATTTTAAACCTTCCTTCAGAATTTCATTTGCAAGACAATGCTTGGTAGTTCATGTCATTTTTATATGCGCTCCGCCGAACGATTGATACTGATGCCGACTTTAATGATGTAACATAGTCGGATAGTCTAAAAGTATGTATTATTTATATTAAGTAAGTTGTTGAAAGCAGGATTTAATAAGCAGTGTCCTTCAGCAGCGATTCATCGCGTAATTATCGGTATTTGCAACTTTTGAAGTTATGAAGTTTAAGATCACTATGAAAGAGAAAGATAAAAACCGTGATGGGAAAATTACTCTGGATGAGTTTCTTGATGATCTAGCTGGAGACCAGAAATCAGACTGGTACACAGTGGAGAAAAATCGTTTTGAATATGATTATGATAAAGATAGAAATGGTGTTCTTGAAGGCCCAGAAATTGCTTCTTGGCTTGTTATGAGTTTGGAAACAACGGCAGCTGAGGTTTGTACCATTTTTTATCCATCCATTAAATTTAAATTTTGGATACCATGCATTTTATTCTCTTTTGGATTATTCATGAGTTCAAATATCTAATTTCACTTAATCGACTCGAAATGTGAAATTTTGATTCTTTGATGGAAGATACAACCATGTAAATTGTTCGAGAAGGAAAAAATTTGTCACTCATTTCGACATGGACAAAAAGCTTAAGTTATTTAAATTTACTGAGACTTATGTAGGATTCCTCAGTTAATTTTGATTTATAAGTGTTAACGTTTCCCTATGTAGGAAGCAGAACATTTAATGTCGAAGGCAGATAAAGATAATGATGATCGCTTATCTATCGATGAAGTTGTAAGTGAATCAGATCTGTTTGTTGGTTCTGAAGCAACGAATCATGGCGAAAATTTGGTTGGCCTATCACATGATGAGCTTTAATATAGTGATGGAGCAGTAATCGTGGTTGTCATTGTAATAATAGCAGTAATAGTGGTAGTACGTATTTATGTTCTACTGAAGCATACAGTAGAACTGAAGCATACATCTCACTATCTGATAATTTAATTGTTATATGTTCTTTCCAGCACAATATGTAGATGAAATGCTCTTGACTTAATTCTATCAGTTCCACTTTGCAAGGAAATATCTGTTAATCACCTGACCATTTTCATTTTCAAATTTCAAGTGAATCAGAAGTACTCCTAATTAAAAAAAATGGCAAGTTATTCTTTACCGTTAAAATTTTTGATTGCGTTGCGTTAGGAAATCAACTCACGATATTTGATTTCACCCGACATTTCATTGCTCCGTATGAAACCTCTGACGATGAGTGAGGTACTTAGCTGAACAGTGATCACTCAAAAAGCAAGCAGAACCTTTCAGAAGAAATTTATTCGCATCTCATTTTTACCATACAACATAAAAAATGATATTCTGTATTGATTTCTTCTGTTACATATGTTTTTCTAAAACATTTTTGGAACTTCCGACAATTCAGATAAGACGGCTAGAAGTAAATAAGTCGAAACTTTACCATATATTCATTTGTATTTTGCTTTAATCATTCTAACGTGCAAATTGAATCGACTTTTTATTAATAATTTTATGTTCACATATGATGAAGTTCAATGAATCTTCATTTTATTTGGCTGTGTATTTTGTCATACGTTTGAAAAGTGCTAGTGTTGTAGGTAAGAATATGGAGGGAAAAGGAAGGCCGAGAGTTCTAAGCATAAAGTACTTCAAACCAGTTCATTCCATTTATATGTTTCCACGGAGTTCAAGTTTTTAATTGAGGAAATGAAAAACTAAGGATTTGTTCGCAAACATTAAATTTGTACAACCGGTTTCTCTAATTAGCTGTAACAATACGTGTACATATATTACATACATTAATATACTATATACATCAAACTAGAAGGAGAGGAAATGAAGAACACATGAATTCAAAGAATAAAGGACTAATGAGACTTTCAACTGCTAATAAAATGTCCTGATAAAACCGAAACAATACCCGTTAAGATTTTTGAAATCCAAAAAAGGAATTGATTCACATTACAGTCATACAGCCCGTAGCGTAGCGTTCACAGCACGGTAAATTTGAAAAATGTTATATTTTAAAAGGAAGGACAGGTCACATAATTGGTACAAGAGTCCATCAAAGGCAATAGAAATTAAAATAGTGATTCCAAAAGATGAGAATGAAGAAATTGTGGAAGTGAATGTTTTCCAAATCTACTGGCAGTTTTTTCACATTTAGAACTACTACCTCATCAAAGTAGAGGGAACAAGAACAAAAGTTTTGATACGTATATGTAATGAAAAGAAGTGAAAACTAGTGCACAGGCGGATGAATTCGACGTTATTAATCTTAATATTGAAATAATATGCTGAAGACCAGCAATTTCTTACAAAGGGAATTGGAAACAACTAGATCGAAGCCTGGCAAGACGTGCCTTTCCAATTCGAGGCATCTTCATATCTAATTGAAGCAATTCGTTCTTTCAGACGAATCTGAATGATCAGGAATGGTCCAAACATCTCATGATAATTTATGATATGTTATTCAACTGAATTCATGTTATCTATGAAGGAATAAGATTAGTCAACGCCGGAGAAAATTTCGGAGTTTTCAACTGCCGTTGTCAACCGTTCCTTCATTTCATGAAAATTCGTATACGGTGGTAGATCGATTCGATTGAAACTGAAAGAAATAGTAATTAATGGAAATAAAGTAGCCGAATAATTAGAAATCGAAATATCATAGTTCATAAAAACTGCGAAATGGTAATATGCTAATTCAGAAACTTTATGAAAACTGTTCTCTCAGTCGTTATGGAAAAATGCAAACAAACAGTAGCACACCAAGTGTGCGCTCGTGGCAACATATCTGCACTGCCCCAGCGTTCAATTGTAAATTTTTGAGGTCCATTTGAACCATATAATTCGCGAAAACCATTCATTGGAACACGAGAGGTACCCGTAACAAATTGCAATAATCTTGCACGCATTTCGTTATTAAATGCAAGCAAGCACTTCCAGAAGTTTTGAATTACCTGAAATTCCATAAGTGCACTGGGTACCAAAATATCTACATGAAACTTTTTAGAACTATTGCCGAAGATTTGAATATTTTCAGATATAAAAACCAACATGATAAAAACCAACATGATAGATTAAGATGGTTTTTTTTTTTTGAATTTAGCTTGCTGTTTGAAATCCATGATAGGGATATTTCATACTTTTTTCTAGAAACTCCTATGTACTTAAAATATATTTCCAAAAATATGAAGAAATAACCGGATGACTTGGAGAGTAGCCACCTTTATACAGAGTATTGTCTTTCCAGTCTTTAACGTCAATTTTTTGTAAGCCACACACAAGTAATTCAAGCTCATTCGGGTCAAAAATTGACAGCAAATTTGGTGGTATTAGCTCGTGAACTCCCCTCATCAGTGCTTTCATTTGTTCTTCAACGCGACTAACAAAGCGCCACTTAATGATTAAGTCAATATACTCGTCTTTATTTGCATCTGTTACTTTCTCCTCCGCTCCTCCATTTCGAAGTTCCACGCTATTCATCTAAAAATTTCTTTATTCGCCCTTAACTACATTTGAAATACAAAAATTTCTGGAGAATTTCGGACTATTATCTTGAAAAAAAGCATGTACAAAGATAAGCCGCTCTAGATCACGTATTGCAAATCATAGTATGAAAAAATGAACAACTTCAATGCTGGAACATGTAAACACAACCACCTTTCCAAAAACATCCTCGTCCACTGCAAAGTGCAAATCCAAATCTTCTGGATTATTATCTTTGATGTAAATTAAGGAATTGAAATACTCATTATCCACAGACTCCATATCATTTAGAGTGATTGGCTTATCCAACATCATTTTATAAAACGGTCGAATGAAAAATGCTGCAAAAAATGACATTTGAGAAGTTTTGCAAAAACCTGAATATTTCAAAATGCAAGAGCAGTAGGTCGGTTATAATACGGAATAATTCATATAATTTCTTACAAGGCGTTAAATCAATTACAAAAGTGAAATTAATTGCAGATATGATTCTTTTTTATGTGGAAAAATTCACCATCAAGTAATTTCCCGTGGTAAATAGCAATACCAATGACACGACCAATAAAGTGGAAATAAGATAAGTGTTCCGGATTACAGGTTTCCGAATGCGGATTTATTTGTAAAGTATAATTATCTCTGGAACGAGAATATATCAGTTGATTTCAAATAGTGAAATGCAGAATTTCAAATGCAGAAAAATGACATAAAGGAACCTTTTAAAATGAGCATTGAAAAGACGCAGGAAAACTCTGTCTCTTCCTCATTTTACCCTAATATTTTCATGCATGAGTGATGCAATGTGAAACTCCGGAAATACCATCCATTAATCCTCAAGGCCTCAAGGCATCCAGATCACAAATCTGCTTGATCTACTGGGATGTATTACTTCTTGACTACTAGCTTGGTTTGACGATGGTTCTCATCACTGACAATGGTTCTTGTCGCCGCTTAAATTAATTACGAAAATTGCATTGACAGAAATATGTGTGACATACGTTGCTGAATATTCGAAGAGACCGTAATACGGGTTGAAAATATCATGAGAAAGTAAATAAAACCATTCGCGAGCTACGCCACCGTAATCCAAACCTGTTTCATTCTCGAATTCAATCCAAAGTTTAGCACGCAAAAGAGTAGGTGATAACTGCATTATCTGTCTGAAATAGAAACATCGTCATGAATGAATTCAAAAGTCCCAAAAAACGTCAAACTAGACTAATTTTAAGCAGTTTTCTGCTTGGTCCTATTACGGTCTAGGTAATATTCTTTTTCAAAAAAAAAATGAGGGGTTGTAACCCATCAGGACCGAATACTGATTGGTACGGAAGATTTCACTTGCATTCCTTACCACCTTTTTTCGATATTTTGAAGAATCAGTTTACTAAAATTTGTTAGCTAAAAAAAATGTGCACCTAGTTAATATGTGTCTTAAGACATGAAAAATCTATTTTTGGCTCAACTGCACTAATTATTGGGAAAAAATGATACCTATAAGAATCTTCGAAGAGCTGAATCCGTCGCACGATAATTTCACATTTGATGTTGGTAGGTGGTTTTGGAAGATGTGATCTCAGATATTCATATTTACATTTATAATCACGCGAATATGGAACAGCTGGACCAGCAATATTCGTATTCTCAAATCTCGGATCTTCCCATTGTGTTCGGCGAGTGTTGTGGTCAATGTAAAATATCCTACCATCAGCATGAATTCTCTTTTCCCAACCAGCAGGCAATTCGCCTAGTTCGTCGGTTCGCACTTCTATGAATGAAAGATTCACAGCATGAAAATTTACTATACTACATACAGAGTTAACCATCTTGAAACTTTTTCGTTACCTAAATTACTCTATTTTACCTGGATTTGCTCTCGTAAAGAAAAAACTTGAGAAATATAAGCGACATCAATTTTCTCCTTTCTTACCCTTTAAATAAGAAGTAGCTGAAGCCTGGCCATCTCTTGGATCAATCCAAGTTGTTGTCTTGTGTATATGATCAATGAAAAACGTCCGTCCATTTGGTGCCACTTGCATATCCCAACCCTGGGGCAACAACCCGCGACCATCATTAGGATCAACACGACCACCAGATTCAAATTTTGCTCGCAAACCAACTTCCAACTGAACTAAGCATGAGATTTAAAAATCTTGAGGAGGAGAGAAGTTCTCGGGATTTGAGAACCGACAGAAAATACTGAACAGATAATAAGATTCGACCGACTGGATCAACAGAAAGAGATAATATGGAGTGAAAATTTCATTTTTGATAACGATAACATCGCGCATATTAAGTTTAAATACTAACATTAGCAATACTATCCTCAACATGTTCCTCACTAGAACCTTGCCAACGACTTTCATAATTTCTACGCAAAGCATCCTCTTGCTCTGTTTCGTCTAACTCAGATTCCATGCCACTTCTGAGATTAAACTTGTTATTTATTTCATTAGTTTCACCAAAATACGAAGACTCAAAAAGGATCAATTCTTTGGGAAAGAACCATCATCGACAAAAACAGATGCAGAAGTTCACCTCGTAGGTCGCATCCATTGTGTAGTTCTCGATATGTGATTAACGTAAAATGTTCGACCATTTGCGTCTAGCCGTTCTTCCCAACCTGCAACATGTTTGTTTTCGCATTTCTTTGTAAGGAACGGGAATTTTACAGTTTAGTTTCAAGATGAACAAAAAACACGAAAAAAAAAATCCACTTCCGATCATATTGTAAATATTACCTTCAGGAAGAGATATTGGAACCTGTCGGTTGGCTAAACAGTTAGGACTCAACTGCTCCCAATCACCGTCGTCATTGGTAGAGTTCTGCTCCATAGCTGGGTGTGTAGAATTAGTGACATATGAAAGTGAAAGACGTACACTACCCTGAACTGGAGAGTAAGAGCGATGTGAACGAGCACTCAGAATATATGACGCTTCTGGAATTGGTATTCCGATCAGTTCATGCGGGATACGTACCTGTGCTAAGTCAATTTCCACCATTCCAAGGAAATCATCGCGTGTCTGTAAAAAATTAAAAAGATGAGTTGAGAGGTTTTAAAGCATATGATGGAAAAATGATTTGTTGCCAGAATCCAGTGTTCAAATGAATAGAATCGGTCGTTGTCTGAGATTCTTTACAGCTGGATATATCAGCTCAAACCAACCTTCTCTGCTAAAATTTATGCATTCATTGTAGCTCATTCGACAAATAACGATATTAAACGACAAAACCATTATCCATAAAATCTTAGATAAATCCGATTCTAGAACCACTGCTTCAAAATATGTGAAGCAATGACTTCGAAAAAGAGCTCAATGCATATTCTGCTCAGTAAGAGATAAGAAAACATATCAAAAAATAATAATTTTTGCATAAAAATAATCACAAAAATATCGTCGGAAAATATCGAAAATGTACAAAACAAACTAACAATACGCCTTTCATCAAAAATCTGCACTGTTAACATGCAATTTTTGCGTACCACGCGAAAGAGAAATTCTTCATTCCATATTGGTTCACGGGTCTAAATATGGATAGAAAATTATCCGATTTAGGTGAATAATTAAAGCGGTTATTGTTCACATTGTGTGACTTATTCTTAGACATGTATTAAGAAAATTACAAAAGCCTTGACTGGCACAAAACAACACAGAGACGTGATATAAAGATTTAGCACTCTTTGTCATTTCTGATCCAAAATGATTCCCTCTCTTACTTTTAATTTCTTTCGAACTGCTCTATTATAAATGGAAATAGAATAATAGGCAAGATATGAACATAGTGTAAGTCATACGACATCAAATCTAATTTCTATAAACAATAACTGATGAAATAAGTGGTGAAAAATAATAAGTACCTACACCCTTGACCATTTTCTCCCTTCTATTTTTTGTTTTTGCTGATTCCCTCCGACCTCTTGTTTTCCTCTTCCACCACATCCTCATCTGATATAATCACGATGAATTTATAAATCCAGTAGAAATTAAATAAATGAAAGCAAACATGCCTTTCGTCGTGTTTTGGTTTGTGCTTTATCGATGACATTGTTACTTCCATAACGTTTCAGCAAAATCACTGCATATGGATCACAAACTCCGAATATATCTCTTTTTGATAGACGTTCCGCCTTAACAACTCTAACACGGAGAATTTCGGTATCCTAAAATATCAGTGTAAAAATTCCACATAAAACTATCTTTTTACTGCGTGCCAAACAGAACAGGATGAAGAATACCAAGAACAAAGGACATATACAACACAGAGACAGTTACTCTACCAGCGCGCTAAATGATTACATAACCTCGGTAAGACAACGTACTATTAATGGACTTGAATTCTTCTGAATAGAATGACTCCAGGATTATGAAATCTCTAGCAATTAGACAATGTTTTAAATTATTGAGACGAACATTATGTGCAAGAAAACCTACCTCTTCTGTTTCAGGTAAGCCATAAACCTGACCTCCTGTTGCTTCACTTGGTGACATTCACTTGTTTTCTAACAAAAAAAAAAAAAAAAAGAAAAAGGAAAAAAAAACAAGGAAAATAACATTACTCATCGCTAATCGAAGTGTTTTCAAAATAATTATAGAATCTTTTAAATTTGTCTTTCTGCGTTCGAGTCCCATTTAACTCTCAAAGTTGCTCATGCCCATAACTCTTAGACTTCCTCGTATCTCTTGCAAATTCATGGCAGTATGCATCGACTTATGCATGTGACCAACTAAATATCAAAATCATTTATCAAAGAATCTCGCACAAAAGATAACGTCAACAGTCCACGCATCTGAACCGAAAATCAACTCCCGAAGGACGGTCTTTTTCATTTCGCCCAATAAAAGCAAGTTTGTAGTGAAGTTACGGAGACGTATGAAATATCAGTGGAACTTGCAGAGATGGAAGATGAGACTAGGCTAGTGTTAAGATGGAAGATTGATAGGTGCTGGGAACTTATTTCCCAAATAACCAAATAAATCAATGGAAGGACAGACATGATTATTATGGTGGCATTAAGAAAGGGTAAGTTATTCGATGTGTCAATCTTATAAATGTGCATGTTTTAGAAGTGAATTGTTATTTCTCGAGTAAGTTTGCTTTCGTCTTCTCTGCAAACATTTTTTTTTAATTCACTTCTATTAACATTCAGAGTAACAGACCCTTGTACGTTGTGAACCATTTTCTGCTTGAACTTGAGACATTTTTTCTAAAGGGATGTAAAACGAGCAAGTTTTAAGAAGTAATGAGACTTTATGAATGGCTATTTGACATATCAACATTTATTGGGTTCTATCTTATTGCTGCATATTGCATTGCGGTGGAATTTTATGTGGATCGGATTCGACGCTACAATGGATTGCCGCGAATGAAATATTTACTTAAAACTATAGAAGAAAGCAAATTCATTAATACCTCAAGTCGAAAACTGATTGCCATAATAACCGGGGCGAATGGAATGATCGGCACTGAAATAACCCGTTTATTGCTACAAAATAATTTCAAGGTATTTTTATGAGGTCGCTAAATTTCTTCATGTTTCTCATGAATTCCAATTGCACTGTTAATTTATTTATGATTTTACATTTCGGCTCACTTCTTTCGCTTTTTTGAATCTGCATTGCAGCTAAATTTCTTTTCAAACTTGGATAAACTTGTGTTGGAGTTTGTGATAACGTAAATCATTTTCCAATGAATTTATGACAAAACAATCAATTCTATCCAGGAAACTTCCAGAGGTATTTTCTTGAAGGTTGTATGTTTGATTCGGAATTGTGACAATGGCAGTTGGCTGAGTAGTTTTGAATATCAGCCGAGCTTGGTGGTGAGGAATGTGGATTTATCCAACCTTCGGAAGGTAAAGAAAATGGCGCAATTACTCGCAAACGAATATCCCCATGTAGACCTCATTATTTGCGGTGCTGGCGTTATGTTGCAGCCATTCAAGCTTACAACGGATGGTTTTGAGACTCACTATGCCGTTAATCTTCTTTCTCATGCCATGCTGGTTAATTACTTGTTGCCGCCCATGACTAAATATCCGTTAGGAGAAAGTTGCATCCGAGAGAGTCGTATTGTGTTCTTATCCTCCGCCACTGCACACCTAGGAGTTTTCCATTCCATGCTTCTGGATGACTTCAAAATGTTCTACACATATCGAAATGGTTATCAGGCTTACTCGACATCAAAATTTGCCATATCTCTTTATGTCGAGGAAATGGACAAGCAAATGCAGCAGAAATCCGCGACAGCAAACCAACGAACGGTAACCGCCATTTCTGTACATCCGGGTTGCGTCGCAAGTGGTCTATACGAGTATTCGAATACTTTGACCAAAGCCGTAATTTTCCGATTTCTATGGCCTATCATGAGAAATCCAGTTTTGGCTGCAGCTGAAACAATAGCCCTCGGATGTGGTGATAATTTGAAAGGTGGTTGCTATTATCAACACATGGTACCGACTAGAATTCTATGCAGCACAAGAAAAAAACAACAACTGTATCAGCGTGTAAGAAACATCATGACAGATATGGAAGAAATTTAGAAGTGATATACAACAAAAATCACCGACAATTAAGAAAGGCTTTTCAAAAAGTAAATCTTACGTATATTTCCGTCTTGAATAATATGTGATAATACTTTGTGCACACATAATAAATTTAAATGAAATTTACGCAAAGACTTGTGTTGACAATTATTTTCTTTTCCAACTCTTCCAAATGAGTTTTCTTCTAGTAAAGAAATTTGAAGTATTCCTTTTAAATCTAGTCATTTAGAAAGACTTGAGTGCAATGGGTATCAGAAGCTGCACTACTAAAGATGAAGAAATATTTCAAAATATGACCGAAAAACAAATTTGTTTCGGCTTTGAGCTTTGAATTTAAATTTGGAAGAAAATGAACTAGCTTTTCCCTGTTGTTCTTTCGAGATAAGATTCAACGAAAGAGGTAAAGTCACGAGGTAGAACATGGTGAAGTTGATTTCAAGGCCGATCTGGATTAAGATTTGCAATTTTTTTGGTTGGTGATTTTACGTACGAACAGCTGAAAACAGGATAGTGAGGCGATGAAATCCCCTTCCCACTTCCAAAACAATAACGTACTCTTCCTCTAGTCCCTATTATGAAATAATGAGATCAAATGCTGTTGGTATTCACATTTTTTTATACACTTGGGTTAATCACTGTCAGAATCAACTATCAGTTTTTGACGCTTTCGTTTTGAGTTTTTGCTTTCCTCCTGAAAAGTTTTGCATATAATAAAGGAGAGTAAATAAAATATGTGATCACGTTTCTTTTGTACTTTTGAGCCATTGCTTCTTCAGTTTCTAAATCTGGCTGGTGGTTTTTGGTTTCTAGATCTAGTTGATATTTATTTTAATATCGAGGTCCATAATTTGGAACTGAAATTTTAGTTTCAGTTCAGGAAAGCGGAAAACATGTTGGTAGCAACTAAACGGATAGGGCTAAACAATTAAGACACTTGAAGTGCGATCTTAACATCGATGAGTATGATTCTAAACTGAAATTAAGTTCTCCTTAATTTCTGTTTAGTAAAAACCATTCCTTTCTTTGCTAAACAATTCTATGAAATAATAGTTACGCAATTTAAAAGTATTTCATAGGGTCAGAATCCTCACAATACTGAAACCCATTGCACTAAATAAACATTGAGTACAGCCTTTTTCCTGCGGCTGTCGATTGGTTGTAACGGTCTAAACCATTGTATTTGAAGACTACAACTAAGGCTAGGACGAAATCTCCATGTCCAGCAAACGACCGCACAGATAGTTATGTAAACGAGAGCACTCAAAGAATGATACTAATCCTCATGACAAAGCGTGATAAAGTTCCCAAATGAACTGGCTATCTCTTTGAGACAACTGAACAGTATTAAAATATAAAAATGAACTGGAAGTAACATACGTCGCTCACATCGGTTATCCTTTTCGATGTTTTGGTTCTTCGCAAAGAACGAGCACTTTGTGCATTATCATCACTCAATATCTCCATCACAGCAAACAGCTCGCTGTAGCGTATTCGAAGGGATGACACCTAACAAAATTTAAATGACTTCCTTTTTACTTCAATATAGGATGAGTTAAATTCAGTCATAAAGTAACCATAAATGTTAAAGCGAGCTAGCTTCAAATGTAAAGAAATTCTAGATGCATGAGTGTGTTAAATTTACTAGGTTCTACGTTTCATATCAATTAAAGCAGTCTAATTTCAGAAATGGCTTCAGCTCAGATTCTTGGGACCAAATCGTGAGGGAATGAAATGGAAGTCATTTTTCAACAATACATCTCAAAAGATCCTGGACTGTTACAAAAAAAAAAAAGAAAAATGAAATATTAACCTTTTCAGCCGCCCTTGCTGCCGTAAATGCTTCCTGTAGAGTAGGGCGTGCCAAGAACGCTTCCGCCATATGACTATCCTTTGATAAACAACTCTGTCGAAATTTGTCAAGATGTGAAAAAAGCTGATCTAGACAAACATATCTGGAAGAATAGCTTGTTCGTAATCTTTTATAAGTTGTCTTCCTCTATCCCACAATTGCCTTCTTTCAGTGCTTTCGATCTTGATAACTTCGCTTTAAATACCGACTTCATAACAATAGTAAGATTGTGGAAACCGCAGAATGTAATATCAGTTTTTTTCAAGATTCTGAAGACGGCCCCACATTATTCTCAATTTCATCCACTATCAAGAAATAAATCTTTGATTTTGCATCCTTTCCACTAAAGCAATATTTGAAAAAAATAAAGCTTCATATTCCTCAATTACCTTTGGGTCGGGCGTTTTCCTTTTGAATGAATTGGAAGAAGATCACCGGACTGAATCAATTTGTCAATGAGATTAGACAGCAATTCTGCTACTCGAGCTGCATAATCTGGATCCTTAATCAGCAGTTTCAGACAATTTACAGTAAACATATCAGATGGTGTACGTGACAAAAGATTTCGTATAAGACCCATATTCGGTTCGCGATCCATCCTAAATCATACTTTATACAAATATTCTTGGCGCTCATATGTGTGAAAATAAAACTGTAAAATAGCTCAAAGGAATTACCAAATGATTTACTTCACGAAGCGGACTATTTACCCTAAAGAGTTACTTCTCGCAAAATTGTTAAAAAATATTAGGCCTGGAAATAAGCTAATATACAAATACAAAGTTCCGATCCAAACTTGAAGTTATGCAAGCTGACGTTGACCTAAACCAATGGATTTATTGGGTGCAGCAGTTCGCAGCAGTTCCTAAATTTTTAGGTTGGATAACAAGCCACATCGCAAGGTAAACAAATATTGCGAAAAATGTGTTTCATAAAGAACCTTTGAAGCATGATATAAACTTGTGCAATTGCTTCCGAATGCTTTGGATATTGTAGTTTGGAAATCACTTGTAAAATCCAATCCACGGGAACACCTTCTGCGTGCACTAGCTGCCAGAAAATAAACTGCGCGGTTGTTTCCCATGTTAATGAAGCACTGACGATAGGCAAAAAAGAGTCTTTCCTGAAATTTATTAATTTGTTAAATAAGAGCCCAGACGTGCAACATATGATGAGCAGGCCCAGAAAAATTGTCTACACAGATGACTTAATTTTTAAAACAAAAAAACTCCGTAATAGGCAAAAAGTGACGTCAAAGTGATTTCCGAAAAATTTTCCAAACAAACCTAAAGAAAGAGATATTTTCCCGGACCATTTCACCAATAAGATCAGCAATCTGCCGTCCGTCCAATGAATGAGCTAGTAATTTCATCAGTTCGACACTACCCATTGCTTCCGTGGCAAATTTTTCATATACATATGGAATGAGATGTGCGAACAGTACATAATCATCGATGTGGCATTGCTTAAAGCATATTTAAACCATGTATTTTTAATTAATAATCTCATTCAACTGCCATCCTTTAACCATTTTAAGACCCTGTTAAGAACAAATAATATGCCATTAGGCAAGTATAGATAATTTCGTGCATATAATCTAGAAAACAATTCAATTTTCTGTTTCAATTGACAGCAGTTAATATCACAAACAGTGTTGTAATGAGCGAAAAGCTCGATGGAAACCAATCATTTCTAAAAAGGTAATCATTTAAAGACGACGATCAATAGTGATTTACGTATCAAATGATCGAATTATATAAGAATCGAATATTTTAAGTTAAAAGTCTTCGAAAAACCTGTAAATCTGAGACAATTTGCTGGATCAGTGGATTGTCTAACAGGCGACATAGATCAGTATAGGCAGCAACTGCCGTATCATTCTGGTCACGACGATTTGAGGACGTGAAAAATAATAACAAATATGATATAGATGAGCACCTGCAAAAAACATTACGCTTCAAAAACTGTTTCCTGTAAATTAAAACTTCTAGTTACCCAAAAAAAAAAATCCCCCCCCCTTCCAGTACCTTATAAACACATAAAGAAATTGATTATAAGGTGAAGCTTCCTTTAATATCCCAGCATTGTAGTATACACTTCAAAGCGTTGAAAGCATTCCATATATCAGCATAAGTATCATTAAAATTAAAAAATGAAGGTTGAAGTCTTTACGAAGAAACATTAAAAAAACATGCTTTTCGCACATTTCAGCAATTAGAGATAGCAGCAGCTGTCTCGTAGCATCACTATCCGGTGTCAGACAGAGGTTTCGAAATATGACATAGAGCGGCTGATTGAACATCTCTTCCAGAACTCTAAAATTTGGATAAAGATCTGAAAATTGCAAATTTTATGCAAATTGTCATTAAATTTAAAATTCATACTCAGGTGTGTCCAGAAAACCTTCCGACAATGGTTTTCTATTTCGGATATCCTTCCTAAAAATGAGCAGAAGACATTCCGATAGCAACTCAATCTGTTCTTCATCTAGTAATTCATCCTGTAATATCAATTTTCAATTTTATTTCAAAGGCAGATAAACAGATGTAAACTTCAAAACTCATGAAGAACATAATAAAATATGGAAATAAAAAACGCGTAATCGAAAAGCAAAGTTAAAAATGAAAGAACAAAATTTTAACAATTATTTCTCCTTAAGAAAGAGCATATAAAAATATCAGCACGTTATAGCACTTCGCAGATATTTTCTGTGTATTTTACTTTCCGCTGTTTCGTTAAAATATAACTGAATAAATGCATGTGAGAGTTGAAACTTACATTATCAAAAATTGAAGACAACAATTTTTGCATCATTTCACATCGCATATCGCTATCTGAATTTTTCACACTTGATAAATTTTCAATCGGTTCTCGAAATTCTTCTTTAACAGCGGCCAAGAGAGTCATTACTTTTCTTCACATGATAAACCAAATTCTTCATCAACTGATCCACTGTCT